TTTTCTTTTTTTTTTTTTTTTGGTATGGGGAATCGAACTCGAGTCCTTGTGTTTGTGAAGCAGGAGCTGGAAACACTGAACTAAATTCCCAGCCCTGGATCTACTTTTTTAACACTTTTTTACCTCTGGGAATAGAATAAATGTGGCTAGATCAAGAGGCTAAGTGTGTGTACCCAAAATGACTGGGAAGTTGCCCCTCTCCCAAGTGATTCTCCTACTTCCGATGTACGGAGTTTAGTGAATCGCAGCCCCCCCGTACCTGGCTCCAGCTCTCCATCTGACTCCTTCCTAAAACAGCCATAGGCTGGATCCATGGTGCTCCTAGAGATGATCAGATCTGTGACCCAGGGGCCGCCAAGACTTCCCAGAGGCCTCAAGGTGAGCATGAGGGTAGGGAACTGCCCACCACAGCTGGGTGGATGGAAGCCATAAAGGATCACTCCCCACCTGGAAAGCAGCTGTCCCTGAGGCTAGGGAAACTTTGGAGCAGGTGGTAGCTGCACTGTAATGTACTTGCCAATAATCCAAGATCATTGACTTTTTCCCAGAGAAGTGAAAGTTTTTCTCTCAAAATCCTGACAGAGGGCTATACAGGTCCATCAGAATCTTTGTGGGCAGAAAGAGTGCACAGAAAGCTGATAGCAAGTCCCCAGTGCCTGTCCCCAGTGTGCAGCAAAGCTCGCAGGGCCTGGAGCACCAGTGCCCTTTGGAGGCCTTGCAGGAGATGAACATCTGGAAGGCACAAGGACCCAGCCTCTAGCAAGTCAGAGGAGAAACAGAAATAAGACGAAGAACTCACTGCATCAGGAAGTTCACCTGTGCAGCACATGTCCTAGAACAGAGGAGACTTGGGACAAGCAAACGGAGCCCAGAGGGGGACAACAGCTTGTCCATTCTCTCTGTGTCTGTTGTCCACGTACATACACCCGTGTGTACACACACCTACATGCATGCACACAAACTTACATAAAACTAAACACATAATATGCATGGAAGTGAATGTAGGGCTGGAGATTTAGCTCAGTGGCACTGTGCCTGCCTCAAAGGTCCTGAGTTCGATCCCCAATACTGAAAAACAAACAAAAAAAAGAAATGAAGATAAATAGAAAAACACAGGCAAGCACATGCAAACCTACATGCAGCGGTAGGCAGATTGCCGTGCACACACAAACATACACACCTGTGTCATACATATGTGAATATATGATCTATTCTATAGTTTGCCTTCAGTTCATTTCAGCTCCTTCTTTTTCCTGGTCTGAAAAAAAAGCCAAATAAAAACTAAATGTCAATTAACTAATGCAGAAGATGTTACTAAGGCAAGAGGCCTGAATTTGGGACAGCAGGTGTCAGAAATCAAGTTGAAGAAGGACCGAATTAGTAGACCTGCTCATTCAAGTCTTGTGGGGGGGTATCTCTGATTTAACCTTCCTGTGGGGTCTGCAGGGCAAGGGGCAGCTGGGACCCAGTCAGGGCTCTGGGGACACAGGATGGGATGATGCCAGCCAGCTCCCTTGGGCCCCTGCTCGCCTACTGAGTCCTGTTTCTGTTCAGTAAATGCTTCTGGGCCAGGCAGGGCTGTTTTCACTTTTCTTTGCTAGGCTGTCATGGAAAGCACATAGGATAATTAGAATTTCCCTATAAGATATGATGACTGAAACAAGCATTCATTTACACAAACCCTACAAGTCAGCTGGACATGTATGCTTCCAGTGCTGTATTATTTTTTATAAATCATCATGAAAAGAAAACTTCGGGAAGAAAATAGTCCTACCCTGAATCTCCTTGGAACAAAGCACGGGGCAGGGTGAAGCCTGCGGGGTCATCAAGTTCCCATTCTCTTGGGAAAAGAAGCCCACAGCTGGGGAGGGAAAGCCTTGTTCATCTGTAATTAGTGCAAGGCCCAAGTTTCAGGCCTCGGCCCCTTGACACAGGGGCCGGTGCACTCTTGAGCAGACTCCCCAGCTTTCTGCTTCCCAGAAACACCCTGATACACGAGGTCAGGGAAGAACGGATGAGAAAATAAACACAACAAGTTTCCCTGTCAGGCCCTGGCAGCCAGACCTGCAGGCTTCCTCGGTCCAAGGAATTCAACATGAAAGGCAGGAGAGAAGAGTAGAGTGTGTGAAGCCCAGTCATCTGTCTCCCTGCCTCCTGCTCCTAGGAAATATAAACCCAAATCATGTCTTCAAGCTGGACATCATGCATGTTTGGTGCTGCAGAGATGAAGCATTCACTGAGCTTCTCTTCCCAGGACACAGCACTTGCTCTACAGGAGCCCTCCAAACACTCCTGGATGGTCAGAGAGTTGAGTCATCTGGTGCCTGAGGCCGGATCCAGGGCCCCATCCTTTGTCATGAAGCTCATCTGACCTTCCCTAGTCTCGCTTCCCTTGCACAACAAGGAGGGTCGTTGCTGTTAAATGAGATAATGTGGAGAAAAGCACTTCGACCCCCAAAGCACACACTGCGTTGCTGTTACTTTTATCACCTCAGGCTGCTCTTCTGGGAGAGGTGTAGAGTTAACCAGGAGTATCTGGTATCAAAGATGCTGACGTGATCTCTAAACCAAGGAGCCAGCAGGCGGCCAAGCTCTTCAAGGCACAGGCTTAGAGAATTCTGCACATGACAAGGGGCTCACACGCTTCCTGACAAAGAGATGTCAGTCAGAGCCAAGATGGGAGGCCATGGAAGGGCCACAGGAATGAGACAGACACCACAATTCCCACTCAGAATCGAGAGAAGCATCAAACCCATTTTAAAACACATCTTCCAATGGGCGGGATATTAGATCCGGATGTGGACACAGGAGTGTGGTGTGTGTGGAGGTGGGGAACGGTCTGATTACAAGACCTAGAGACCAGCGTCTCAAGTCTGGGGACCTCAGCTGGTGACACAGGCAGGAATACACAGCAAGCCTGTGCACCCTACACTTGGCAGAAGAACACCCAGAGGTGTTTCTGATACTGTGCTCCTGAAAGTCAACACATCCTGTGTTTAGTATTTGATTCTCAGGACAATGCTGCAAGGGAGATGGTTCCTGACCTGCTGGCCTGTGTCCAAGGAGCTGCTTTGCAAAATCTGAGTTGATCGCAGCTCATTGCAAAAAACAAACAAACAAAAAAATCATAGATACTCATATCCCACAGGGAACCTCAGCAAGGAGTTTCAGGCAAGTGATTTATTTGGCTTTCTGGACGAAACCCCGGGAAAGCACATAAAAATGCTAATTAGAAGCAAAGAGAACATGAGCTCTTGCAAAGTCTCCAAGGTGCCAACCCCACTCTGGCAAGATTCAGCTTTAAACCATCAGCGGCAAAAATAACCTTTCTTCTCAGAGAAGACCTGGAGCAAGGGGCCATGCAGTTCCCTCGGTGCCCTGGTACCAGGAAAACAGTCTCCTGTCCAAGAAAACCTGCATAGAGCCGCAGAGCCTCCCACATCTCACTTGGGCCCCATTTACTGCACTGAGGATCAGTTGGACATCTTCTCCTTCTGTACCTAAGAAACTTCCCCATTCAGACTGTAAGTAATACCTGCTTTCCCAAAAACCCCGGGTGCGGAGGGAGCTCTCTCTGGTACACAGCACTCCCTTCCACAAGAGCTTCTTCCTCTCTCTCTCTCCTGCAGCTTGAAATACCCAGAAGGATGGAGCATGGAAGAGCTGGGACTGAGCTGGCTTAGGAAAGAAGACACAGCCAGGAAGGCATGGGGACAGCAGCTGACTCGTGTGCTGGCCACCGAGAGCCAGGTCAGTAGCTGTGCCCTTTGGGAGGTCAGAGGTCACTGAATCGATGCAACCACGGGAAGAAAGATGAGACAGTCTTCAACCCAGGGAAGACATGAACTGGGCTACCAGAGGCTCATGGACTCTTGTGTGTCTAAATGTCACTCTTGCTGGAGCAGAAGGAGCCAGAGGACACTGCAAGCATGCACTTATGGACGTCTGCCCACTCCCCTGGTCACCATCCCTGTCCTGCCTCCTGAGCTGGACACCTAGCATCCTCTTTGTTGCCCCTCCATGGTTGCCTTCCTCAGCTGTCAGAGCTGTTCTCACCTGTGTATGACACTCTAGCCTTGTTTCATGGATACCGCTGGCTCCCTCCAAAACTTTATAGCCCTCCCAGCCCTGTCAGCTACCGTAGAGCATCAGGAGGGTTGTGAACAGCAGTCAAGGTGCAGTAAAACCCACACAGGCTTCAACCCTGACTCTGACCCCATCTGCACTGGCCAGAGCCTCTGACATTCACCCTCACTGCTGCCTTCTGTGCAGTGTGACATGCTGACCTCACAAAGATGTCCTCACCCAGCAGCCTGGGAGGCTGATAGGAAGATCGTAAGTTTGAACCCAGTTTGGGCAATTTAGCAGCTTGGGGAGAGCTTATCTGAAAAGTAAAATAATAAAATAAAAATTCAAGGGCTGGGGATATAGCTCAGTGTGAAGGCCCTGGATTCCAAGGTGGGGGGGAAAAGAGAGGGAGGGAGGGAAAGAGAGAGATTCATCTTTCCACAGAAGAGCCTTTTCAATAGGAGTGATCTACTTCTCATAGCTCAGTCTACTGACCTGCTCTGGATTTAGCTTCATGAAAAATGTACCCAACTGAAAATTTTGGGACCAATGAGAGGGTTTTAACATTTAAATGAGATTCAGTCGGAATTCTGGGTTTTTAGCACCCAGCAGTGTGCAGTGAAAGAGGAAAGGAGCAGAGAAAAGAAATACAAATATATGGTTGGTTGGTTGGTTGGTTGGTTGGTTTTTTAAAATAGGGTCTCGCTACGTAGCTCAGGCTGGCCTTGAACTCGTTACATGGCTTAGGCTAAACTTGAACTTGATATCCTCCTGTCTCAGGCATATTGATGAGGCTGTTGTCAGGGAGCTAGTAGCAGAGAACTTCCACAAGAGAGCTCAGCTCCCAAGCGCCTGAAGATTGGAACTGAACCCAGTGACAGCCCAGCACACAACCTCTGGGGTCCTCCACCCAGGACCCTCTTCTACCTCCTATAGTTCCAAAAGATTGGATGATGCAAGAACTGGAATGAAGTTGATTCAGAAGCAAACACAGCTTTGTAATGTATCTAAGACAGCACAGGTGCTGGCCAATTACAATTGTACGGGTGCTCAAAATCTGCATGGAATTCTTAGTGCATATTCAGTGCCAGGCTAAGCATTTGAAATGCAGGAACTCACTCAGTCCTCCTGCAAGCTCTTCACGTCAACACCACTAGACGATTACAGGGTCAATGCCATGTTACAGGGGAGGAAGTTGAAGCAGATTTCATAGCTCGCCCAAGGTGCCAGAGCTAATATGTCCTAGACTCTAGAATGAGCCTCCAGCATGCTGGGCTCCAAATCCTTGCTCTTAATCATTTCTCGCAGTATTTTACAATGTGTTCCTACTGCATTTAAAACATTAAATATTGTGTAGAATAGATAGTCACTTCAAAACCATTATATAAATAGAATCATGCAGTGTATAGCTTTAGGTTTGTTTGTTTGTTTGTTTGTTTGTTTTCTTCACTTAGCATGATTCCTTGAGATCCACTGAAGTTTCATCAACAGTTCGTTCCTTTTTGTTTCAGAGCAGCATTCTATGGTACAGATGTACCCCAGTTTACCTATCCAAGGACATCTAGATTGTATCTAGACTTGGGGAATTAAGCTATGGGGCTGGGGATTCAGCTCAGTGGTTCCACTGTCTGCCTCCCAAGCACAAGGTCCTGAGTTCAATCCCCTGTACCAAAAAGTAATAATAATAATAATGTGTTACATTGAAGACATACTCAAGTGAAATACATAGGACACACATGTGTAAATACTGAATAGTTTCTCTGGTGTGAGAAACTGAAGGTGTAAATAAGGATCAAAATGCATAATAGATAATATGAAATAGGAAGAAAAGTCCAAACAGGAAGGGGAAGTGGGACAGGCTGGGGAAAGGAAAGAAGCTAATGAAATTAATATGAGAAAAGGAAAAAATGGAAATAAAGTCTTTTTATATAGGGAGGGGTGGAGTTGAAGACAGGGCAGAGGAATGGGGAAAAAAATAAGAACCAAGATATATTATGTAAAGGTACAAATTTTCAAGGATGAATGTCATTATATTGTATAAAATGTACCAATAAATTAATATTAAAAAAAGAATTAATGTGCTATTAACATTTGCACACGGGCTTTTATATAAACACAAGTTTTTCTTACTCTGAGACAAATACCCAAAAGTGAAACTGGTAGGTGATTTACATGGTATTTAAATATTTTGGTTTTTGACAAATAGCTTCTCTGGTGTGAAAAACTAAAAGTATAAGATCCAAATTGTATAACTGATAATGTGAAATAGGAAGAAAAGTGTTAAAGGTGTAGAGGTAGTGGGAAGGGGAGGGGAAAGGAAGTAAGGGACAAGAAAAAATATGAGAAAAGGAAAAAATAAAAACAAAGTCTTTGTAAATAGGGAAGGTGGAGGAGTTAAAGGAAGTGCAGGGGAATGGGGAAAAAAATGAGAACCAAGATCTGTCATGTAAAGGTATAAGATCCTGACCGGGCGTGGTGGCACACACCTGTAATCCCAGCACTCAGGAGGCTGAGGCAGGAGGATCGCTGTGACTTCAAGACCAGCCTGGCCTACATAGTGAGTTCCAGGTCAGTCTCAACTACATAGTGAGACCCTGTCTCAAAAAACAAAATAAAGCAAAACAAAAAAAAAAAGGTATAAGATCCTAATGATGACTGTAACTGAACTGTATACTTAAAAAGTACCAATAAACTCAATGAAAAAATAAATAAATAAATATTTTGGTTTTTGAGAATGCACTAAACTTTGTGTATATAAGACAGACTGGGTGACTACATAATTATATATATACTCACTGGTTTCTCTGCATCTTCACCAGAATTTGATACAGCCATCATTTTCAAATTTTAATTATTATAATATATATATGCATATATATTCCATTGTGGTTTTAATTTGCATATCTAATAAACAGTGATGTTGCATGAGTTTAATTTGTCCTCTATATATCCTCTTTATTCATTATGCCTTTTGCCCATTTTCTTATTGCTTTATTTGGTATTTTACCATTGAGTTTTCCAAGTTCTCTACAAATTCTAGGTACTAGTCCTATGGTGAACATCTGGTCAACAAATATTTTCTTCCAATTCATAGCTTGGATCCTCAATCTCTACATAAGAACTTCTACAAAGTAAAGTTTTAGGCTTTGATGAGGACCAATGTACAGATTTTCTACTTTTCTGGATCATCCTTTTGCTATCAAGTCTAAGGATTCTGCCTTGCCATAATTCCTCCCAGTTTTTTCCTAGAAGAAGCATAATTTTATTATTTAAAGCTGAAGTCATGATAGAGTTATTTTTTGTTTTTAAAATGATATGAGATTTACATCAGGGTTTGTTGATTTTGCCATTGGACTTTCCATTAATCAGTTTTGCTCTTTTGTTAAAAATCTCTCAAGCATGTTTGTGTGACTATTTTTGGAACCTGAATTCTATCCAAGAGAACTATTTGTCCTTCCACCAATGCAAAATTCTGCACTATTGTAGTTATATAGCAAGCATTACTAATGGGTTTTCTTAATCTTTCTTTATTTTCTGTGTCAAGAGTGTTCTAAGTTTTCGTGGGCCTATACTTCTCTACAGAAATTTTAGATAATCTTGTCATTGCCTACAAAAACTTTACTGGAATACTGACAGGAATTGCATTCAATCTATAAGTCCAATTAGGGGAAATTCACTATGAAACTCTTTACTGTGGTGAGTCTTTTGATCCATGAACATGGTACATCTCTTCATTTATCTGGGTCTTCTTTGATTTCTTTCATGAATATTTTTTAATTTTCATTGTATGTTTTTGACAAGTGTGTAGCTAAGAATTTCATTTTATTTGGAGAGATTGTAAATGACGTTGTGTTTGAAATTTCCATTTCCATTTGTTCATTGTTAGTAAACAAAGTTGTGATTTTGTATGTGTGTTGAACTCACATCTTGCAACCTTGTTGAACACATTTATTATTTCTCTGAAATTTTACTAGATTTCATGGTATTCTTTACAGACAATCATATTATCTACAAATAGATACATATTTATGATTTTACTTTATGTTTTACCCTATACACCTTATATTAATTATCTTTGTCTTCTGCATGCCTTATTGCTGAAACTTTAGTATTTTTTCAGTGAGAGTTTGAGAGCAAGTCCTTGCCTAATTCCAGGCCTTAAAGAGAAAACACTATTTCCCTCAGGAAAAATGATATTAGCTACTGGCGTTAGGTAGATGCTCTTTATCGAGGCAGTTCCCTACATTTCTAACTTGCTGACAGTTATCACCATGAATACATATAGGACTTTTTCAAAGATTTATTCTGCATCATTTTGTAAAATCATGTTTTTCTTCAGCTTGTTGACATGGTAAGCTATGCTGATTGAATTCTGAATGCTGAACATGCTTCTCATGCCTCAAATAAACCCCTTTTGTCACAGTGTGTAATTGTCTTTATACATTATTAAATTCAGTTTGCTGGATCTAATTAGGCTTTCTGTGCCTAATTCCATGAAAAATATTGGTGTGGACTTTCTAATGTGTGTGTAGGGGTGCTGTCTGAGTCTTGTTAATGGCTGCATAAAGTGACTTGTGAATGCTTGTTCTATTTCTGGAAAAAATGTGTAAAATTGGTAGTTATTCTTTAAATATTTGGCAGAATTCTCAAGTGTGATTTTCTGGGTCAAAAGACTTCTTTTTCAGGAATTTAGATTGAAAATCCAATTTTTCTGAAAGTTACAGGATTACTCATTGTGTGCCTCTTTATCTTGGTGTTTTTAAGATGTCCAATCTGTTGTAATAATGTTACTAGTGTCCTTACCTTTTTAATGGGCACAGAAATTGTACTAATTGTCACTGCTGATATTGGTTACCTTTTTCCTATTTCTTATGCTGTGATCACTGCTGCTAGAGGTCTTTCAATATTCTTAGTTTTTTTTATAACCAATTTATGTCATGACTTTTTTCCATTGTCTTACTTTCACTTATATCAACTTCTGCTCTTATCCTTATTTTCATTCTGGTTGCCTCTTGTCTGTTTTGCTCCTTTTTTAGTATCTTGAGTCATAAACTCAGATGATTGACTTAAAATTCTTTTTCACTTCCAATACAGTATAAGAATTTACTACTATAATTTTTCTTCTAAACATTGCCTCAGCTATAGCCCATAGTTTATGATATGTCAGATTTTCTAACTAATTCAGTTATATGCATTTTTCAATTTTCCCTTGAAGCCCCCTCTTTGATCTATGGATTATTTGGAATTTTGTTGCTTAATTTTCACATATTTACAGATTTTCCTCTTGCCTGTGTTTACCATCTTATAATTTTATTCTATCTTGGTCAAAGAACATATTTTATATAATTTTAACTCAATCAAATGTTTTGGTGTTTGCTTTATGGTCCAAGATAGGGACAAAATTGATAAACATTTTATGGGAACGTTTTAAAAAAGGAGTATCTTCTATTCTTGGCTAGATTATTCTATACAAGTTACTCAACTGCTTTTAAGTGCTGACTTACCCAATTCTGAGAGAAGAGTGTTCCTACAATTGCTGATTTGTCTCATTCTTATTTTGACTCTGGTTTTATTACATGTATTTTGAAGCTCTGAAGTTTGATGTGTACGAATTTAGAATCAGCATGCTTTCCTTATAGATTCTTTTATCATTATGTCGCTTCAATCCCAATTTAATCATATTCTGGAGTGAATTCTTTTGTATAGTTGTCATAATTGCTTAAAGTATTAATAAAAAATAAAAATCACAATCTAGTGGCACATTTACAGTCTTAAGAGAAGAGGGGACTCTTACTGCCATTAGCTCCTTTCACCTTCCCCATTTTTAAATATCATTGTTTTATGTATCAACTGCTATTATAATTTTTATCTCAATCATCAATATGATTTATAAAATGCATAAAAAATAACAGAACCTGATTATGTACCCATCTTTCTGTTCTACTGACCTTTCCTCTTGCTAAGGTTTCTGACTATTTCTATTTTTATTTTCATTTTTCTAGTCAAAAGAACTTACAGTGACCAATCATCAAGGGTTTGTTTAGCAAAAAGTTATTTCAATTTTTCTTCAGTTGGCAATAATTTTATTTTTATTTATGTCTAAAGTATATTTTCACAAGCTACAAAATTCAAAATAGCAAGGATTTTTTTCAGCACTAAAAAAAATGTGTT